GCGAATAACCCTGCTAAAACTACAGTGCCTATAGCACCACCTCAACCGCAGCACTTCAGGTTCTAGCTGACACGCTTCTACTTGACTTGAAAGCAGAATTAGAAATATCAATCTACCGACTTCTACACCACAAAGAGCACCTTCACACTAAAGATTTACACCTATCCTATGCCAGGATAGAAAGCTTCCAAAATCCCCCTGTCTTACACCCAGGAGATCTACCCATCCTTCCTTGGTGCAAATCGCACTCTTTTATCAAGCATAATTCCGTCTAAACAACCACGCTTCAGTCTTACATGCCGAGTCCGTCGCTCTCAAAGAAGTACCATTATGGTTAGGTACGCATCCAACAGCTCACACTTCAATCTTCACAGTTACCATGAGCGTTTTGAATGCTCTGAATTCCCTTCATCCAAACCATCCGCACACGCCGGCAGTTAGAGAGATCCTATTGATGTTAGCCTCCTCCATTCCTTTAAGGGGACTCATACACCTTAAACCCCTCATGATCTTCGAATATGTGACTGTTGCAGGAATTGAGATATTTTATTTATTTTAAAAGCAATTACTTCCAACTTTTTACAGCTGACTATATAATATAGCTGCTTTGGAAACTAGTAACCAAAAAGTTTGTGTTGATACAAATATTTTTGTAATTTAATCCTCTTTGTGACAAAATATTTCGCCATGTTTCCATCTTGCGCGCATGTTATTTTAAAAATGGCTAATGGTACATACTTGAAATTGGATGGAATTCTTTATATGGGCACTATTTTCTAACTGAACCAACAATCTGATGAATATTTAGTACTGAAGATTTTTTATGGACGGAAACATTACAAATTCTTTTAATAAAATACATTTTATAAACTCACTCCAAAAAAATAAAAATTTAACATGAATTTTTAGAATTTTAGGTTCACGGTAGTTTTCAAATGTTATAAAAGCTATATATTAAATATGGAGTTAAATTATAAAAAAAAAAAAAAAAAAAAAAAAAAAAAAAAAAAAAAAAAAAAAAAAAAAAAAAACAGAAAAAAAAAAAAAAAAAAAAAAAAAAAAAAAAAAAAAAAAAAAAAAAAAAAAAAAAAAGGGAGAAATATTTTAAACTGTGCGCGCAAGTTGGAAACATGACGAAAATGTTTGTCACAAAGCGGAATAAATTTAAAAATATTTGTGGCAACACAAACTTTCTGATTACTATTTCAGAAAGCAGCTATATTATGTAGTCAGCTGTAAAAAGTTGGTAGTAATTGCTTTTAAAATAAATAAGTTATCCCAATTCTTGCGACAGTCACCTATTCGAACATCTTATGGGTTTTAAGGTGTATGAGTCCCCTTAAAGATGAACAGGATAAAAGGACATTCCGGGCAGAAAGGCAACGAACGAGCTGATAATCTAGCTATGACAGCAGCTCACAAACCAGAAATTCCGCTTTCCGCAGGAGTTGCAAAAAGGCTCCTAGAGATAACATTCCAAGAGACATGGTCATCACGAATGCAGGAAAAAGAGGCAGGAAGATTTTCTTACAACATCTCCCCAATAACTACTCTCAAGGGGCTCAAATGCAACCGAATCTTCCTCCAGGCCTGTACCAATCAAAATTTCCAGCGTATTACAGACGATTCCTCAGACGGGACGTCAAGTGTTCATGCGGTCTTCGCGAGGAAGACGCGAAAGCACTTCATTACCTGCTCTCCTGCCCTCTGACAGAGCCTCATTGACAGTTCTTTCCTTCCGACTACATCGCATATCCTGTGAATAGACTGTTCACAGACTAGTACTGCAACAAGGGCATCTTAGAGATAATGAAGCAAGTGAATGAAAATAATTATATCCAAGAAACTGAAGATTAATGTAATTAAAATGTAAAAAGGCGACCTAACCGTCAGATTGCTAGCAACGACTAGGATGACTTCCTAACTCTGTCGTGCCATTAACGTTGTTTGGCGGAACAGGTTAAATAAAGTGTCCCTATCTTGTCTGCTTCAAAAATTACCTAATGTCTCTATAACCTGTCACCTATAACCTGCGTAAATATGCTGATTGCGTAGGCACTTGATGCTTAAGGCGTCCATACGTTTTGAAGAAGAGACAGTCGAGCCGGATTCCATATTTATTTAAATTCACATATGTGGCCACAATTCACTTGGCAGTCCAATCGCGCCTATTTCCAAAACAGTTTTGTTGCTATTTCGATAGAAGCGAACATATAAGATTGCTGCAGCGTCTTATATGAGGGTGAAAGTGTAAGAGAGAAGAGAGAGTGTATAACAGTACTTCGGAGGAAGAGTCAAAAAAGGTCTTGGTTTACAAATTACTTTGATTGAACAAGAGATATTTGTATTAAGGGTTACTTAACATCGCATGATTAATTTGAGTGACGCAGTTTAGATTTATAACGCTATTTTTAAGAAAGAGAGAGATGAGTTCACAAATTAAACAAAGAATAAAAGAGGTTATAGCCAATTAAAACTAGAAGTTTGCTTTTATATTTTTTATATTACAGTAAGACCCCGCTTAACGCTGTTTCGTTTAGCGCTGTTTCGGTTTAGCGCTCTTTTATTTCAACCCGGGGATTCCACAAAATCGCTCGCAGCATACGGGGATTCCCCGAAATATTATGCAGCGATAGGTTTCAAATACATATCCGAAAGAGTGTACTTGTATTTCTTGTTTGGTGCGGTATTGTACAGACATATTTTGAAGGGGTAAATGTGGAAGATGTCGAAGAAATAATTCAAGAAGCAGCGGCTAGTCTTTCTAATGATGAGCTCAGGGAATTAACTGAACAAGAAGAAAACAAAAATGTTGACAGCACTGATTCAGAAGAAGAGCAAAAAGAACTTTCGATGGCCTTTGTAAAAAGGAGTTTGTCTACCATAACTGAAATAATGGATCAATTCATTGAAAATGATCCGAATTTTGACAGGAGTTCAAAAGTAAGGCGTGGTGTTAGAGATGCTCTATCCGTTTATGAAGAACTTTTAAGAGAACAACGCAAAAGAAAAAGGCAAACAACATTAGATGCTTTTGTCACAAAAAGGCAGAACACTGAAAACGCGGAAGGCTAACTAAATATGACTGACTTAGAATTTTATTTATTTTTTTTTAAGAATATTCGTTCTAAAAGATAAAGTTACATATGTATTTTTAATTTAAACACTTTACCAGACTAAATATCCGTTCAGTATTTTAAGTAACTCTTTCTTTCATTAAATAATATTATCGCAATAGAATATTATTTGGACAGTTACTGAAAGTATACAAAACAGAATAATTAATTTCCTGTTTTGCCAGTTATTAGATTTTAAAATTAACAACTTACTTTTGAATCTCATCATTTTTTATATCTTGTTTATTTTATTCAAAAGAATGACCTAATATATCCAAATTTTGAACATAAGTAACAACATAAAAAATTTTTAAGAATTTTTAAAAGCCTCAATTTTTTCAACAATACTCTTTTATTATATATCAGCGGTATGTATCTTTAGAGATGGAATGGCTTAGGTTCTTACCACTAATATTTTATATTTTAGTACATTTATTAAAAAATTAATATAGATTATCTAATTAGCTCCCAGAGATCTTTTCTATGACTTGAAGATGATGATACTAGATTCTCAGAATCAGATTAAATAATAGAGTTTTGAAATTTAGTTGCATTTTCCAACTCCTTATGTTCTCAGGACGCTTTAGTTTTTTGTTTGATTTTTACGCCGTTTTTTAGTTGTAGATCTTATCGTAATGAAATCATAATGTTAAATTCTGTTTAATGATCCGGACATATTTGGGAAGGCCAGAACACCTGAAATATGTTTCTTTCATTAGCATTTTTTAAAAATTATTTTCGTTTATTTTTAAGATAAATATCACCATCCTCACAAAACGATGATTAAAGAAAAGTATAGTTATTTTATAAAACTGTTTTTTTTTTTTTTTTTTTTTTTTTTTTTTAGTCCAAAGGGATTTGAATCCCGAAGGACTATTAGTTTCGTTTTGACATTTTGCGTCGGACTCATAAATGTCGGTTCACTTTTCAAACTGTTGCCACAAAATGTTAGTTTCCTGCATTATATTTGAAGAAATTAAATAATGAAAAATCTGCATAAATGTATGTATATTTCTCGTATTGTGATAAAACAACGGTACATAGAGTCATCGAATTTTGAATAACGTAATCCTCCAACGAATATGAGCATGCGGAAGACCAAATTTGAAATTTGAAATTTGTTTTATGATCGATTTCCTATTTTTTAAAACTTTGACGAATTTTTGATTAACAAACTCAAGGATTTCAAAGCGAGCAATGGCAACGTTGTGCAGAAAAAACATTTTTATCTCCAGCGCGTGAGTCTCTGTATCGGAAATTCTAAAGACATACTCGTTTTAAAACTATTTTGCGTTATTCCTGTTGCACTGGATCTTATGGTTTAAGTGCGAGGAACATGATATTTAATAAAGAAAGGTAACACACAAAATGTTAAAAAACGCCCCTTTGGACGTAATTTAAAATCTGAAACATTTCAGATTTTTTTTTTTTTTTTTTTTTTTTTTTTTTTTAATTTGGATTTTGTAGGAGATCAAACTTACTTTTTCAAAACGTTACTTTTTCAAATGAATAATGTCCACTCATAAAATATTCAGGCCTTCATAAACATTTCACGGTGTTGCGATATGTTTATTATTTTTCACTTGAAATATGTTTTATCAAGTATATATCCTGATTTTCGGGAAGCTAGAAATTTAAAATTTTAAAATATCGGTTATTTTTAGATGAAATAAGTATAGTTAGATTGTTGTATGTGTTATCTATCAAAATATTTAGTATCATGATGTGAGTATGGAAGCCATTTCTTTATGTAACTAACGAACACATTCAAATTAACTGATGTAAAGAAACTTGCATTCACATTTAGAATAATTTCACATGAGTTTAGACATTTGGAATAAATTTGAATGCAGTGTTACCTTTAAATGAAAATAATGAAACAAATGCTGTTGAAACGTATTTTATTTTCATCAGAATCATAATAAAATGAATGGCACATAAATAGGCATTAATAAAAATATGTTTGTGCTATTTGGTTATTCTGAATTAGAAGAACCTATAAAAATATGAATATTTAGCATGAAGAGAAATTCCATGAAACTTGAAGAAATGAAAGGAAAGAAATGGCTGGAGAGATGGACTTGCAAGTCTAAATAAATATTGACTTAACATGGTAAGCTTGACTGGAAACTTTGTACCTTAAGAACATTTTGTGACATAGTAGGCTACTATGGTACGGTAAGCCTTGACTAGCTACCTAAAGTAACAGCTATATTTGTCGAAAGAAATTAAAGAATCTTGCTTGCATAGTTTGACGTGAAAGTAATTTTGCCTGCATTGCACTAAAGAGAAGCAAAACGAGTTTTCAAGGAAAAGCCAATATGCAGAGTGCACTTGAAAGGAAAGAAGACACAAATCACAGTTCGTCTTTTCATTTAGAGGTATAAACTATTTTACGTTAACTTTGTCATTTGTTCTGTATACTGAATGTTTAATAGTGGTAGGCATATCCATAGCGAGGGGCAGCTAAATGGTGAGAAGCATATGCTAAAGGAGCTGGTGTAGCATATGCTAAATGAGCTGGTGCAGCATATGCTAAATGAGCTGGTGCAGCGTAGGCGATATGTGCAGGTGCGGCTGCCAGAGCAGGAGCAGCATAGGCTATGGCGTGATGTGCGGGTGCTACAGCCAGACCAGCCTTGTTGATTGATGCATGAGCGGGATCTTTGGGCTCTACGCCTGGTTCATTGCTTTTGATATCGGCACGGAATCCAGCAGCATCAGCAACGTAGTTAACGACACGAACACGTCCATCAGCATCCCTCAGTCCGTAAGAACCAGCAACATTGCCATGGCCATCTCCAGATTCTTTTCGGAAGGATCCCCCACTAAGATGTCCCTCATTGTAGCCAAAGTTGTAGCCACCTAAGCTCTAGAGAAAAAAATAAAACAAACTTCAACATATACATCGAAACCTAAAACTATAAATAGAGAACTTAGCTTTTAAGTTTCAAGATCGTTTAAAAACCTATTATGGAAGATAACTAATAAAGGAATAAAATTTGAATATTTCAGCAGTTAAACTAAGAGAGGATAAAAGCATATATTACATTCCAGCATTAAGAGCTGCAAGTTTCAGAGCGAAAACCTAAGAGCTTTGTTAGGTGAACACTTCTGTTTCACACTACATGTAGGAGAAACTGCGAAATTGCAATGCAAACAGCGTTTCAACTGCCAGGAATGAGTCCGGAAAGGTTATTTGTTCAACTCTGAGAAATTATCAAATTACTTAATTGTTTAATTTATAAGATACGGTAGGAAATCTTGGTTTAAAAAAAGATTATATATGCAAGAGGATTATATATATATATATATATATATATATATATATGCACAGAAGTCACGCAAAAGATTTGTTATATATATATATGTACACCTTACCTGGCCTTTATTTTCGCAGTCGGTGTGGTAGCCATATACATCCAATTACAGAAATGTTGTAAATGATTAAATTATTTCTGTTTTGGCAATTTCAAATTTAAGAAGGTATTAAGTTTCGACAAAAATGAAATCTAAAATTTAATACGTGTCCCGGTTCCTATACTTATATATAGGAAAAATTTATACTTCTTATGAAAAAAAGCAAAACTATAAGCAGTTTGACTCCCTCGCGACAAAAATTGATGGGTATATTTAATTTCAAAATTTGCAACTTTTGATGTTATTTGCAGTTTACTTTGAGTTATTTCAAGTAAGAATAGTTCGAGGAAATAAATTTAAATGAAGCGCAGGAAAAATGGTGTACAGTTTAAGAAGCCTTGCAAGGTAGTCATGTGGTGTCCACGTCAAATTTTGTAATGTACGAAAAATTAGGCCATCCATGTAAATTTAAATTTCCTTATTCGCCTATTGCATTAAAATTATATATTGAAATCATATTCTAGGTTTTTAAGAATGCTTAGAGTTTACACAGATCGAGGAACGTCCGACACAAATTTACACGTTCAGCGGAAGTTTGCACAAATGAGAATCAGGGGGAAAATTAAGAATTGCTTTTATTAAAGTAGCATCCATGAAATGGAATGCTTCTGTGAACGAAACCAGCTATAATTAATGTGAGTTTTAAATAAACACAATTTATCATGAGTTCTAAAATATGAAAGTTTCTTAAGAAGACTCGTGAAATTAAATTTTCATGTGAAACGTTTCAAAATGTTTCTACAATTTATAAATTTTTATTTTCAGTTTTGGAATGCGTTAAAGCCACAGATTTGGTTTGGTTCTTTTAATTATGGCAAAGCACACTAGGGCTATCTGCCTAGGGGGAGGGATGTTTTCGTGGAGGACTTTCTAAGGGAAACTAGCTCGTATGCACGTTACACATGGGGAAATGCAAACACCCATGCAGCCAGCCCTTTCGAGGAATTCGAACCTCGGACCGAACTACCAGTATTCAGCGAATTTATCGTTCGCCGCTGGTGGGCAAAGCCACAGGTTTGTTACAGCCTTTACTTTAATAAAAACTCTTATGAGGAAAGATACGAGATGTTTGGTTTAGTTTTGGTTTTATTAGATTACCGCAAAGCACTCGAGGGCTATCTGCCTTAAATGGGGATGCCTTCGTGGAGGACTTTTTAAAAGAAACTGGCTAGTATACACGTTACGCATGGGGAAAACTACGAAAACGCCCATGCAGCCAGCCCGTTTGCGGGATTCGAACCTCGGACCGAACTACCAGTGTTCAACGACGATACCGCTCGGCCGCTGGTGGGCCCGAAAGATGGGAGATGAAAGTAGCATATGCTTGATTTATTTCTTTGAATATTTGAAAAACATGATAAAATCTTGTATTAGCATAAATGTACCTCCTAAGTTTCTCATTATGGATGAAATCATAAAATAATTTTCAGTACTCCAAACCTCTTTTACGAAAATCTTTTACTAGCATATGTTGTCTCAAATGCTATAAATTGGTACGGATGAAAACCACTTCAATTTGTTATTGTTATTTTTTGCTTGAATAAGGCTAAAACTTTGCAATGTTAGTTAACTGTTTCCTTAATTCAATTCCATTTTTATTTACCCAAGCCGTCTTTTTATTTCACTATTATATTTTTCCTCACATAAAATTTAAAGTCTAAAGAGAAAAATATAAATCAAATTATAGGTGATACTATATAAATTATCTTAGTTTTCTTCTCGAAATTTTTCCTATGATTTTATTGTTATTATTAATTTTATTATTATGCTGAATTTTTAAATGAAATAATGAAACAAAATTTGAATGCTTAAAGAATTTTGAAAACAATTTCGTTATTTTTTAAGAAACAAAAGCGGCAAAGAAAACTTTTCTGCAAACTAATTGACGAATAATTCAACATATACTAACGAAGGCTGTTTAAAAGATAGAAAATACTTTACTATTTTGCTCATAAAACCTGTTAAAACTTATAAGGTATTTATTCCGCCTTCTTAGCATGCCTTCGTGGTGTAGTGGTCAGCACGCTTGACGCGTATTCGAGAGTATTCGAAATAACCTAATGTCTCTACAAACTTACATAGAATTATAAACTCGTTGTTTTAGTAGAGAATAAACACTACATAGAAATTTCTGAAATTGTATTTTTTAACTTTTTATTCATATTTTACATTATAATTAAATATCCAAATTTCGTTCCAATGAATTTTATTTTTTACTGTTTCCTGAAATAAAATTTGCGTATTTTATAACTTTTAAGTCCTATTTTTTTTTTCAAACTGTTAGAATTTCAGTATCTTTTATATGGCGTTATTATTTTTAAGAGTAATATCGCGATCTGTTATCGCAAAAAGCATTTCATATAGTCTCCAAAGTTTTCTGCAAATGGTTGCAAATTAAAAGTTTTAAATAACGCGTCCTTCGCCTACATATGAGTTAAAAAATATATCACATTAATATATTTTTTTAACTGAGATAAGAAAGCTATTGAGTTCTTGACCAATTTGAAGCTTATCATGTTATCTTAAGGTACTGAATGTTATAAAATTGGAATTACTTACATCTTGACTCCTGTATTGACTGCTAGCGCCTGAACTAACAACGGCAGGATGATGTAGGAGTACAGCTGCCTGGGAGGCGGCGATAAGAGCGAACAAGATGAGGACCTAAGAATCATAAAAGTACATATGCATGAAGAATATTAAAGGTAAGGTTTGGTGACGTATAAATGTCTCAAATACTGTAGTGCAAGATATGGTTTAGATTAAAGGGGCTCATACACCTTAAACCCCTGATGATTTTCGAATATATGACTGTTGCAAGAATTGGAATATTTTATTTTATTTTAAAAGCAATTACTTCAAAACGTTTTACAGCTGACTACATAATATAACTCCTTTAGAAACTAGAAATCAGAAAGTTTGTGTTGCCACAAATATTTGTGTAATTTAATCCGCTTAGTGACAAAAGTTTTCGTCATGTTTCCACCTTGCGCGCATGATATTTTAAAAATCGCTAATGGTTCATACTTGAAATTTAATGAAATTCTTTATATGGGCATTATTTTTTAACTGAACCAAAAATTTGACGAATATTTTTGTATTAAAAAAATTATGCACGAAAACATTAAAGGTTTTTTAATAAAATACATTTTATAAACTCAACTCCGAATAAAATGAAAATTTAACATTAAATTCTTAGAATTTTAGGTTCATAGTAGTTTCCAAATGTTATAAAAGCTATGTATTAAATATGGAATTAAATTATGCAACAGAATGTTTTAAACTGTGCGCGCAAGGTGGAAACTTGACGAAACCGTTTCTCACAAAGCGGATTAAATTATAAAAATATTTGTGGCAACACAAATTTTCTGATTACTATTTCAGATAGCAGCTATATTATGCAATAAGCTGTAAAAAGTTGGAAGTAATTGCTTTTAAAATAAATAAGTTATCCCAATTCTTGCAACAGTCACCTATTCGAAGATCTTATGGGTTTTAAGGTGTATGAGTCCCCTTAATGAAAATTATATATCAAAGAAAACTTCAAACTAAACTTAAATTTATTAAGCATTTTATCTAGAAGGAAAGAAAATATCTTGATTAACACTGGTAATAAATTTTCTAGTTAATTCTAAAAATTTAAGCCACTGTAGTTAAAAAAAAAAAAAAATCTGAAATGTTTCAGATTTTAAATTACGTCCCAAAGGGTCTTTTTTTTTAACATTTTGTGTGCTACCTTTATTTATTAAATATTCATGGTATCCTCGCCACTTAAACCATATAAGATTCAAGTTCAACAGCAATATCGCAAAATAGCTTTAAAACGAGCATATCTTTAGAATTTTCCGATACAGAGACTCGCAGCGCTGGAGATAAAAATGATTTTTCTCCACTAACGTTGCCATTGCTCGCTTTGAAATCGTTGAGTTTGTTCATAAAAAATTCGCTCAAAGTTTTAAAAAATATGAAATCGATCATAAAACAAATTTCGAAATTCAAAATTCGGGTCTTCCACATGCCTCATGTTCGGGTTGGAGGATTACGTTATTCAAAATTGGATGGACTCTAGGTACCGTCGTATTTTTATCACAATGGTGAGAAATATACATACATTTACGCAGATTTTCATTATTTAATTTCTTCAAATGTAATGCAGGACTCTAACATTTTATGGCAACAGTTTGAAAAGTGAACCGACATTTATCCGTCCGACGCAAAATGCCAAAACGAAACTAATAGTCCTTCGGGATTCAAATCCCTTTGGACTAATAAATAAAGCTGTTAAAAAATATTAAACTTTTTTAAATGTTATATAAATCTTGGAATTTTTATGGTTATTATTATATAGTATACGAAGTGGCTTGTTTATGCAAAGTAATAAGAGTTACAAATATTTTGGGAAAACACGGCAATGATTAGGAAGAGTTTTTATTATTAGGAATTAATCAAACTTTTCTTTCTATTTTGTGAAAGCTGCAGGACTGCAGAATGTAGAGAGCTAAACGGAGGAAAATCTTACGCATGATGAGAGATTAGGAACAAAAATTTTTCTTGATTATTAATTTTATTCAAACTGATGTAAATTATTCTAAAATTAAGTATGCACACCAACAAAAACATTTTTTCTTATTTTTTAAATGTAAATATATTTTAAATTGTATTTTGCCGCTAACTTTGCTAGCAGAAAAGTTATAAAATCTACAGTTTTGCAAATTTAGTCGTACCAAAATTTAAAGGGGAAATATATGTATAATATACGATTTTTGGGATGAGAACTCCAATATAAACAGATTAAAGTGCGCGTCGAAATAGATAGATTAATATTTCTGAATTAGGCTTTCGAAAACTTCAGTTACAATGCTATTTGTCAGTATATATTTCTATTACAGCTTATCTTTTGTTATCTAACAATACCTTGCATTTTGCTGCCATAGATCATAATTTTCTTAATCGTACGAACTTTGGGGAAAATGCGTGAATGGGAGATTATTTAACTATTATTCTGTTAATTAACTCTTAATAAAACCATAACGTACGAGATGGTAACAGTTGCATTTTCTAAGCTCTATTTCTTTACAATTAGAGCTATTTTTAAGCTCTATTATACAATTGAATACCAAACTATTATGTGTTTTAAATTGTCCTTGTTAGCTAGCTTATCTAAAATTAAATAAATGCAGATGCTTTGTTTATTTGAAGAAACTGAGCTATTACTAAAATTTTACATCATTCAAATCTAAGGCCGAAAATACCTTGAATTAAAAGCTCCACTTACATATCTAAATGAACTGAGTCAAAATATGGAATACAAATTACAGAAAGCTTTTTAACTGAACCCGGAAACTGTCATTCTTAGTGGAATCTACTATTAAATAAAGCCCATTATTGGCATACAGCATGAAACATTTTTCACCTATGGAGGGAGAATAGCTGGGACATATATGATTAACATATTTTGGACATTAAATAAGGCTCGAAGATATTTAGCTATCGTCAAGATTTAAATTTTGCTACTTAATACGAAGCAGGGAATGGCACACACTGACAATTCGATTTCCTGTTCTTTGCTGTCTAAACAACTGATTAAATGGCTACAATGTCTAAAACATTAAGTCTCGACAGTCCACAGAAAATATTAATGGAGTTAAAAGGTGATTTCACTAGTAATAGTAATCTAACTAACAGAAATCTGTAATAGCAACTATATTGCTTTTAAAATATCTTCTTTAGCAACAAGAATATGAAAAGAAACCATGTGCTCCTGCTTGAAATTTCGAAAGTGTTCTTACCTGCATGGTTCTACTGAGAGCTTGCTGTTGATCAAAGCTGAAACAACTGCTGTGTAAGTACTGGACTTTCGCTTCAGTTTATATACTGTTGTCCATCGAAGGGCCACAATAGGTGTGTTCCCATCGGAATGTATAATCCCACGTGACCTGGGAGATGCCCGAGAGGGTGTAGTCCCTCGATTCCGTTCGCTTTCGAAGGTCATTCCGAAAGAACCGTTGCGTCCGACTTCTTTACGAGGTCAGCAAAAGAAGCTAATGAGCAAAGAAAACAGTACCAAAGAACCCCGAGGGAGATTGGAATCTTTACACTTTCTAAAATCTTTCACTTTCATTACCTTTTACATTGTTACAATTCTACAATTGATTTCAAGAGATAAACAAAGCTAAGAAATCTATATTTAAATACTAATAAAGCACAATTGTTATTTAATCGTTTAGCGAAGCATTACGTTAAAAAAAGAGAAAAAAAAAACGAATTTTAGTTGAGTTTCAAACGTTAGAAGGCATTTTATCACAATTTTCATGAAAATATTTTGATAGGATATAATTAAAACTGTAAATTCATTAATATGTCTTCGTTTTGATCAAAGCGTCGTCATAAAAACCAATAAGCATAAATACGTAATTTATTAAGTGATTGTACGTAATTAAGCTTCTTCCCGGTTTTTAATGTTTAAATTAATTAATTACTATGACTCAGAAATAAATAACGTGAATTTTTATTCTGATTTTTAACAAGATTTCGGTCTTTATATTTCATGATATATATAATATATGTATATATACATACACTTAAAGCATCTAAAAGTATACATAAATTGGAGTTAAGCAAGCCAATTCCTCAACAGTATTAGTAATTGCATCTTTGTAAAGGGTTTAAACATAAAATCAAAACATTTCAAAATAAAAATTATCATAGTACAAACTCGAAAACTGAAAATGCAAAAATGGAAAATATATACAAGAAATAAAAATATAAAAATTAACCTCCCTTTTTTGAAACTTTAGTTATTTAAGTTTATTTTACTTCAATCCTGCAGCTATAGCGCAGGACGAGTTTAACGAATTTGCTTTTTATTTTTGCCCCTTATTATGTTTCTTTTCATACATATATATAAAGAAAAATCGTTTGGTTTGGTTTATTTAATTATGACAAAGCACACTAGGGCTATCTGCCTAAGGGGAGGGATACCTTCGTGGAGGACGTTCTGAAGAAAACTGGCTGGTATACACATTGCAAATGGGGAAAACCCACGAAAACACCCATGCAGCCAGCACGTTCGCCGTGATTCGAACCAAGGACCGAACTATCAGTGTTCATCAACTTTACTGTACGGCACCGGTGGGCTTATAAGGAGAAAGAAAATATATTAAATGTATATCCATCTATATAATTATTAATTTCAGTTTGGTTATCTCATAGAAAATGATAAGAAAATACTAATGTAATGGGATATTTTTTAAAGTGAACTACTAATGAAATGAGAGATTTTTAATAGAATGTATATATAATATATATGTTACCGTGAAAGACCGAAATATGAGAATGTCGACCTTCACCGGAATATTGCATTACATTCTTGTACATTCGGACCCTCACCGGTGTATGTCGACAATCACAGATATGCTCTGATGTAGGTCGATAAAAGAGGAGTATATGTACACGCTGCCATTGCAAAAGGAAGTGTTCCACAAATAAATGCAGTTGTAAAAGCAAGGGCCTCTTGTGCGATTCAAAGTGTCATAATAGTTTAAGTTGTTGCAATAAATAAGATTTGAATTACATAATTTAGTAAGTTTTTAATTTCTATTATTTTCCTTTCGCATTTTGAATGTACAGTGTGTTTTAAGTTCTTATATTCTTAATTTTAAGTCTCAAGTGCGTTTTTTGCGACGAATTACGGAGAGAAAATAATATTCTTATGTGTTCAACATCCACCATTAGTACATCGTGAATGTCGACATTTACCGGTGTAAGTCAGAAATAAGAGTATTTGGAAAACATTTTGGACATACACCAAGCGACTATGTCAATGTTGACATTCACCGGTGAAAGTCGACATTCTCCAGATTTCCGTGTTTCACAGTAACATATACATACTATATGTTTCAGTGTGTGTATATATTTGTACATTTATTACAAAATGCACACTGATCTGTGTGGAGAAAGTAAAAATAAAATGTGCTTAAAGTGTATAGAACGAAAACGAATGTATTACAAAAAGAAAAATTGTGCTAGAGAAAAATAGAAAAGGAAATTTCTATTCATTGGTAAGCTCCGGTTTATGCTAGACTTTTAAGTATGCAAATGTTAAAGGCAGCACACACGTAAAGTTTATTAAGAAATGGTGTAGTGAATAGTAGGATTAACTTAAGAGGCAAAAAATTCAGTAAATAGCTTTTCGATGCAGATGGAACTATATTTTTCACTAATCCTTTTTGCTTATCCAGATTTTATTCAATAACTCGTGTAGCAAACCAAAGTCCAGCATAAAAAGCTAATATAATCGTATGTCCAGCTATGGTTCAAGATTCCTGAGAGGAGATAAATCTTCTTATTTTAAATAAAGCTTAAATTTTTCCTTTTTGACAGGCATTTCATTTACGCTCTGCACACTTTAAGCAGTATTCGCAGATAGTGTAATTAATATAATTACACATATCAATATGTAAATATATGCCTTCTCTTTGCATAACGTTACCTAAAATTCCAATCTAACTAACTTTTATTCTTTTCTTATATATATATATGTATCTAGTTGTAACGAAAGTTTTCCGCCAAAAAACGTTCTTAGGTAGAAAAAACGTAACTTAGTTCTTAGTTAGAAAAGTTAGAAAAGAAACCATAACAGCAGTATCTTCAGTGTGTTAGTAATCCTACTAACACACTGAAGATTCATAAGATTAGTAACACACTTCGGGTCTAGTCCATGAAGAACTTCATGATCTTCATGGACTAGACCCGAATAGTCTAAGTAAGCAGCACGGGTGTACAGATTCTGCTCTCAACTGTCAACTGTGTTAGTAATCACCACACAAATCTATGATTTTCTACCAAAGTTTCAGTAGTTTTCCAAGCCTTCGGCTCAGAAACTTGGTGACGAGTCCAAAAATATATCAACCTCATTTCAGAAGTCCTGAGCAGAATGGAAGATAGCACCAGCAAGACGTAGCTGCAGGTATGAAAAAGGGTAGACGTCCGAAGGGGCGATGGCTGGGCTATATGGTGGATGTGGCAAAAGTTCCCTTTCGAGTCATTACAGAGTTCAGCTGGTGAATGCAGACACATGTATGTATTATATTGATGAAATATTATTATTTTGCAGCGGAATTCTATGTTTTCCCTTGCCAGCATCGCCAACATCGCCATCTTGCTGTACATCTTACTGCAGGGATGGGCAAACGTTTTCGGTTCAAACCAAAAATCGAAAAAAAAAAATGTTTGTAGGGCCAACGTACATTTTTCTAAAATTTTAAAAACAATATACAAGTATAACAATTTAAATATGTTAATGAGATGAATGAAACTGCGATTTCATTTTTAGAAGTTCCTTATATTGAAGTTCGATGTACTGATTCTAAGGAACGAAGTTAAATGCGCATCTGTCAGTCTACTTCTGACATTACTCTTTCTAAGGTTCATAGTTGAAAACACTTGTTCGCATATGTGAGATGAAGCAAACATAGCACTGATTTTCTGGGCGTGAGATATTAAATTTAGGAAACTTACATTCGATAATGATTTGTAAAACTCTAACGTTGGCATATTTAGAAACAACTGCTTGAGATGGTTGTCAAATTGCACAGTCAATTCAAGCTGAAAATTTGACCACACTGTTTCACAATTTACGTTGAAAGGCATGTTAAAAACATACAATTCTGTTCAATGTTGTTTACTAATTTTCAATTAGTAAAAATGTTGTTCACTAATTGAAAATTAGCAAACAACATTTTTAGTGCAAAAATTCGTAAATCTTCATGTCTGGGAATTTTGGAGAAGAAATTTCATATCACAATGCAAATTATTTATCTCCATTTATAGAGTGTTCGTTTTTAATGGTAATGAAAGCAATGGGAACTCGGACATCAAATAAATAAAATCTTCGCAAAAAATACATTACTGAAATGTCTTCGCGGGCCGCATAAATATTCTTCGATAGTCACCAGTTTAAAACCTCTGATCTAAATAATCCAAATATTTTTTCTTTTATTTAATCATCTGGTAGTTCGGTCCGAGGTTCGAATATCGCGAACGGGCTGACTGCATGGGTGTTTTCGTGCTTTTCCCCATGTGTAATGTGTATACGAGCCAGTTTCCCTTAGAAAGTCATCCAAGAAAGCATTCCTCCCCTTAGACAGATAGCCTTAGTGTGTTTTGCCATAATTAAATACTACACCTTTTATTTAATCTGCTCCGTCTTTGGACCTGTACAAAAGAATATGTTTCGCGAAAGCATGTTTGAAATTCTGTTACCTAAAAAGCAAAAGAGCTATGATTCCAATCTGATAGCCTAACAATCATGCATAATTTAAATTAGAAAATGAATTTTAATGTAAAATATAAAAATATATAATTATGAAACACAGTTGATTTACCTAATTTTTTTTTTTAATTTTAAAAATTAACTATTCGAAACCATTTGGTTTCCACTCCGCTTAGGTAGTCGATGTCTTAACTGGCAGATTATCTCTTCCATTTTTACTAAACATGTGACGAAGTAATTCATATTTGATTTCTCCGTTGCATATTGTGTATGAAAATGTGAAAAAAAACAGATTTTTTATATTTTTTATTGTCTAAATTTTATTCTAAAGGTTTTGCAGTATCGCAGTTACATTAAAAAATATAGCCAAATAGAATATATTTGTTTCTGCTGTTTCTCGCACTTACGTGAAGTGTGTATGTGGGGGAGATGGATGACTAATACAAAAAGTAGTACTTCTGAAACTGAAAAAGAGTTTAGACACACCCGCTAGATCCAAACTGGTCCTTTTCTTTAGGAAAAAAAAAGATACCACAAATGAAGTCATGAAAGTTCGAGGATTTTTACCTCAAAAAAACACCAAAAATTCGTGATTTCTTCAACAAGCACACGTGGGGTAAGTAA